AAGCCCAGCTCCCTCAGCCTTTCCTCGTAGGACAGATGCTCCAGTCCCCTCATCATCCTCGTAGCCCTCCGCTGGACTCTTTCCAGTAGCTCCACTGGACTCTTTCCAGTAGCTCCTCATATTTCTTGAACTGGGGAGCCCAGAACTGGACACAGTACTCCAGATGGGGCCTCAGTAGGGCAGAGTAGAGGGGAAGGAGAACCTCCCTCAGCCTGCTGGGCACACTCTTCTTAATGCATCCCAGGATACCACTGGCCTTCTTGGCAACAAGGGCACATGGCCAGCCCTACTGTCTCATGGTCAACCTGTCGTCCACCAGGACACCTAGGTCCCTCTCAGCACAGCTGCTCTCCAGCAGGTCAGCCCCAAGCCTGTATTGGTGCATGGAGTTGTTCCTCCCCAGGTGCAGGACACTGCACTTGCCCTTGTTGAGTTTCATCAGGTTCCTCTGCGCCCAACTCTCCAGCCTGTCCAGGTCTCGCTGAATGGCAGCACAGCCTTCCAGTGTGTCAGCCACTCCTCCTAATTTTGTATCATCAGCAAACTTGCTGAGGGTACACTCTAACCCTTTATCCAGGTCATTGATGAAGAAGTTAAAGACGACTGGGCCGAGTACTGATCCCTTGGGGGCACCACTATTTACAGGCCTCCAACTAGACTCAAAGCTGCTGATGACAAACCTCCTGAGTTCTGCCATTCAGCCAGTTCTCAATCCACCTCACTGACCACTCATCCAGCCCACACTTCCTGAGCTTCCTTATGGGGATATTATGGGAGACGGTGTCAAAAGCCTTGCAGAAGTCAGGGTAAACAACATCGACTGCTCTCCCTTCATCTACCCAGACACTTGTGCCATTGTAGCAAGCTATCAGATTGGTCAAGCATGATTACCCCTTGGTGAATCCATGTTGACTCCTCCTGATAACCTTCTTTTTCTCCATTTGCTTAGTGATGACATCCAGAATGAGCTGTTCCATCACCTTTGCAGGGATGATCTAGCAGAGGTTTTAGTTTTCCATCCTTAAATGTAAAAGTACAAGTAACAACAAGTCTTAAATGTGGAATATTTTAATATTGTAATGCATCAGTGTTAATTTCCCTTAACTCCAGTACAGTTACATTTTCTGAATGACCTTTTGTGAGGTCACTGTAAATGTGTTGAAACTAGTTGTCAACCCAGCACAGACCTATAAGACAAGGTGGAAATTTCCCAAAGGGCCATGTTGTTCCTTTCCACTAAAAAGTTGTGGGAGCCACTGCCTGCAGAAGTTTCCCCAAGTTAAATACTTTATATCACTTTCTGAAGGAATAGCAGTACTGCAGATAAGAACACAAGGTTCTAGTTCTCAGTTTCCACAGGAGTCTGTGGAATCCCATGAAGATTCTGCGCTTTTGTAAGAGTTATAAGTCTACCTGTTGCTTTTCTACCCAGAGGCACAGTTCAAAACTACCAGCAATCCACTATAGATATCTGCAAGACTGCATGCCTTTGGAAAGTTCCTAGTGTGGAAAAGGTATCAAAGGAAAAAAAAAAGCAGCATATGGTAATTTGCTGGACCATTCTCCGCTGTGTACCAGGAGCAAGGTGAAACACAGTCTTTTTCTCCTCTAAAACCATACTCCCGTGATAAAAATTTTTGCCAAATGCAGATCAATTCAAGGAGTTAATCTGGACTTTGAAAAACTAGATTTAGTCACTTATGCAATTCCTGTTCAGTTAGTCCTTCACAGTATCTTGAGATTCAGTTCTTTATATTGGATTTAATTCCCAATAAACCAGTAGCAAAGTATCCATATTTCAACAAAGAAAATCCACAGATTCAATATATAGGATTATTTTATACTACTAATAGTTCAACAGTTCAGCATTAGCAAATTGAATATACATCACTGAATTTATTGAAGTCAGATGTTATATCCTAAGAGTTGTGCCTAAAGGTGCTGGCAAGGAGGGGGAACCTCTTTTAGCCCTGTTGCCATAGAAAGTCAACATTTCTTGCAAAGGGCTTCTGATCCTGCAAAGTGCAGAGTGCTCAAATTATGTTAATTGGATTTATTCATGTACTCAACAGGAAAAATATATTGGAGGGGAAAAGAGAACCATATCATGTTAATATTAAATTAATATAAAGATTCACCCATTACGTTAGTCGGGGCTGTCACTAGTAGTACATGTTAAGTAATTCTAAGCAGAGTACACTTAATTCTTAATCTTGTACACTTAATTTACTTCCTCTGCTAGATTACATTTATGATTTTCTAATTGCAAGGTTCAGTTGAGATGTTTCTTAGACATGATATGTACAAAACAGGTATGGTATTGTAACTAATGTTATTTGTATTCCACTTTTAATCAACATTTCAATAACTTGTATTTAAAAGATGTGTAGACATGGTGTTTAGGGACATGGTTTAGTGGTGGACTTTGTAGTGTTAGATTAATGGTTGGACCTGATGATCTTAATGGTCTTCTCCAACCTAAATTATTCTGTGATTCTATGAATCTGTGACTTGATTAGAGCTGGTACCATTCCAGGGTGGCTCAGCCTTACCTCCAGGAGTTCCAAAGATTTACAGTAATTTTCTTGGATTGTGTTAGTGTCTCAGCTAACCAAGAAGAGTTTTTCAGTGCAAAGAAATAAAAGTTGCCCTGGGATGTCAGGAAGGAGCACTAACTTGGGCAGAATTTTATCGTAAGTAGAATGCCTTAAGTCAGGGCAACAACTTGAAGCTCTTTGGTCTGTAAAACAAATTGTACATATGTGACATACAAATACCTAGATCATAAGTCTGTATGATTGTATGCAGCTCAGTGATATAGAATATATATCTTTATGATACACAGGAAAATAAGATGTATATTAGGAAAAAGGCTAAAGTGGCAAATATCAGCTAAAACATCATGTAAGAGCCTGATATTTAGCACGAATTAAAATGCAAGATAAAAAATACTCCTTAAAATATAGTTACAGCAGAGCAAATATTTTAAAGGCTTATTTATATAGTATTCTCCTTTAAACACTTGAATGGATATTCATATGAAATTACAAGTAAAAGTGAGTACTTAATTAAAAAGCATGGTCAAATTGTCACTTGTCATTGCGTTATTATATAAAATGATTAGTGGGCTCTGTTAGTTTCACCATTTTGGCATAGCTTTCATAATTCCTAGATTTTTTTTAACTGCCACAGATGTCTATAGAATATTATTCATGTTAGGCAGCTGTGTGTCAGCTGTAGTGGACAGGACAAAAGCTTAAATAATTTCACTGTATTAAAGTAAAATTATTCAAATTAATTAATTATGTTGCATTTGCCATTGTGTTGGATTTCAAGTCTTTTAATGGATATGACCAGTTTTAAAAAATATATCCAATAAAAGAAAAATAATACCAGCTTTCTCTCATGGATGAGAAATTCAACCTTTTTATCTTGTTAAAAACAGTATTCTAAATAGCCATGTTTATTTTTCCTTTAAACACCCATGACTCTCTCAAATGTTACTTTATATTTCTCTTTTCAGTGGTGCCCAGTGACAGGACAAGGGGCAATGGGCACAAACTGAGGCACAGGAAGTTCCGTCTGAACATGAGGAGGAACTTCTTCTCTCTGAGGGTGACGGAGCACTGGAACAGGCTGCCCAGGGAGGTTGTGGAGTCTCCTTCTCTGGAGATATTCAAGACCCGCCTGGACAAGGTCCTGTGCAGCCTGCTGTAGGTGACCCTGCTTCGGCAGGAGGGTTGGACTAGAATAGTATAGGACTGACCTGACTTTAACAAAGATCTATATTTGATATCAGATACAAAACTAATTGCACATTACACGGCAACAGAAGTGATTATTTCCTACTCTATTACATACCATAGCTTTTCAAATATAATCCTTTTTAAATATTAGGAAAATAAGCTTATCTATTTGAAACGTGGCTGGTTTCAGCCTTTAGAATAGCCCAACTTTTACATTCCTATAGCAACAGTATAAATGCTCTCTATAAAAAAAAAGATTCATGATTAATATGGCAGATAAAATCAAGATGCCTTGGTCCAAGACTTTATAGCAATACCCTGTTATGCGTATTATAGAGCTTCTATCGTGTGAAACTGATTTTAAATCCAATCTCCACTGATCTAAACATCTATTGACTTCTGAAGTAAATAGAAAAATCAGTGCTGACAGCATGAAGTTACTTTGAAAATGGATTTAACCTGTACTTACCCTGGAGGTTTACACCTCTTTTGGATTTAGCTTCTTCCGAGGCAATGCCAGGGCAAATATGATAGACTTGGTCTTCTAATTCCAGCCAGGCAAGCAACCCAGGAAACAATCATTTTTACATCTCTTTCTTCTGTAACTGAAGACAGGGAACTCCGTGTTCCTAGAGCTAAGTGAAGACAGTACTTCCTCCTGTACAAAAATCAGAAATCAGTTAGACTTGGTTGTGAGAGTAGGGATGCGTTTATGTAAAGGTGCAGAGAAAAATAAAACAGATATCATGAGAGGTTTAAAAGCAATACTTTTCCCTCTCAATAATTAAGGCATCAATATATCATAAAGTGTATTTACCAAAGAGAAAGCCAAAGACTGTAAGAACGTTGACCTAAAATGCCCTTAAACTGACAAAGATTAAGTTTATTGCACAGAGGATGCTGAGACAGGTTCACAGGCACAAAGTGTTATTAGCAGGGGCAATCATTTGCAGCTGATGGTACACACCAGCTCTCATGTTGAATGTTACTTTTTGGGGAGAGTGGAGGAGAGGGAGAAAATTAGTTCCCAGTGGCCAGCTGAGAGAAGAAGGCATGGCAGATCCTCTGATGAGATTCTCCCCTGGGCAGCCGGCACGGCCCACCATCCCACTCTCCCTGCAGCAATGCTCCAGGTGACCTCAGGACCTGCCCCAGGCCCTGTTAGTTGTTTCTACCTACGATGTCGTCAGCGCTGGTTAGGGCACACATTGAGTGCTGTGTGCTGACTGGTTGGTAAGCTTCATGCAGTCAATCATGGGTCTCCTCGGGTCAGCCAGCCGCTACAACCAAAAGGTAGGAGACAGGAGCATGAAGGGGTCAGTCTCAGCCAGTGCTGGTCACTCCCCAGGAAAACCTGCCACCACCGCAGCAGTGGGTTTGCCAGGGTGAGCCTGTGGGAATGACAGCATGGGAGCAACCGTGTCGGGGCTCCAAGGGAGAAAGACAGAGGCTGTGGGGCAGCTCGGGGGCAGGAGCACGCAGCTGGGAGGGAAAGACGGGACCCAGAAGGGCCAGTGGGAGAGCCTTGGCAATGGAAAGGGGAAGGCACCTAAGGCACTGTGCAGCACTAGGGAACACAGATCATATAAAATAACACAAGTCACTTCCAAAATCTCTCTCCACATTGCTGCACATTCTAAGTCTATGAGCATGAAACTTTTTTACATCTGCCTTACATGATACAGTATATATAAACTAAACCTCACAAACCACCCATGTCATCCTCTACTGTACTGAATTCACACATTCCCCTCATAGTCATCTTTCCACGGCCCTCCCAACCCAAGCCAGAGGTGTACCCTCCCATGGGATCTGGTCTGAATCACTCTATTTCCATCTGTATTGTCCCATAGGGCAGAGGGTGGGTAACAGCCAGAATACTGGCTGGCTCAGTTTCATTCCTTTACCTGCCCAGCTCAGTGCTTGGCCTGTGACCACCTTGTTCAAGGGATGAGGCAGCCTGAGCTCCGGCTACCTACAGACCCAAACTGTCTGTGCCACACATGATGTAGGGCCACTGCAGCTTCCACACTAGCTACAGGCTTGTTGGCTGACACGTCTGCTCTCGATCAGCCGCATGATGCACTGAATAGGGATGTTGCTGAGTATTGTGAGGGACTCAGCCAGGACGCAGTGATGCCAGCATATCCCAGTGCATTTGGGCTTGCATTAAGGCCTAGCCTCATTCCACCTTTTCCCCCAGTCTGCCCTACAGTTGACCTGGGGCAGGGTTCAGCTTGATCAAATTTCAGGTGTCTACAGTAGAATCGTCTGCATATAGACAGGTGTCTACAGTTCAGTTAAATCAACGAGCCAGTACAGTCAAACACATGCAGAGGAGAATTTATCTCATCCTAAAGGAAACACATTTGGTCAACTGAGAGCCTCCCTGAGTTCCTTTCCTGCACTGACTTGCTCTCCATTGACTACAGTAGAAGTTCAGACACTTTGTTCGGGTGGAGATTCTCACAGTGCAGGCACTTAAACTTAGAGCAAGTCAAATTGCACTCCTAGATTTCATGCCATGGTGTACACTTGCATTTAAATAATACGGAAAGTCTGAGCTAAAATTAAGACATAGCACAATCCATGAAATGCACCATGGAGGTTTGTTCTCAGTTTCCTTTGGCAAGTTAAAAGTACTTTCTCTGCCTCACAGTGCTGTTCTAAGAAAAAATACATTCCAGGCAATGATACAAAAGGATGAAAATATTGTGGACCATTAAAGTAGCTCTTTCTATATAAAAGGGACACATTTTAATAAGTGATAGAAATTTGTAGTTTATTTTCTCATAAAGCTCATATAATGCAGATTTGGGTGAACACTATTGGCTACCATTTATCGATTTTTCCATTAAAAGCCTATTCTTAGGTAGCTACCACAGAACCTAATATTATGGTGTTCTTGCTCATCACTGCTAGGAGAGACAAAGCTAGCAGTCTAGCAAATTTTGCTGCATTTTTGAAAGCATTTTTAGTATAATATCCTGTGTTAGTGCTAGTTAAACCCTTGTTTTTGTCCTTTAGCCCACGCTCTTGTAACAAGATACTGAAGAGAGAGCACTTTTTTGTCTATTGCTTTCTTCTCTAATGCCACGCGGGAGACACCAAGGTTTAGCATCTAAGGTTTTAAGATTTAATGCTTTAAGGTCTAACCCTGTTTGAAATTGAGTTTCATCCCTGAAACTCTTCTACTTGTAAATCCAAAATACAAGAGTATGATTCAAAATGTTTTCCTGAAGAGGATGCTTGTTAAAACACTGAAAATCTTCTTAGTTTAGAAGAAAGAGCAATCAAAATTCTGAGCTCCGTAACAATTGAGTAGGTAGTTAAAAATTTGGATAGTTTATAACACAGGAACATTTGTCTTGCTTCCCTGTGTCTTTCTCTGGTGGTCTATTAATTAAAAACCCAATCTTTCAGGCAACTTTCAGACTTCACATTCTGATCCCCTAGGACATGTAGTATCAAGCAAAAGAAAGAGCCTATGGCCTATGGTATCCAAAGACCCTCATAACCCAGTCCTTTATACTCTGTGAATAATTTTAAAGTTGAAGTTGTGAGAGACCTCATCACCACATCAGAGATGTCAATCAAAGATTCTTCAGAATTTCAGTAATGCAATGTTGAATCAGATAAATAATTTGGGTGAGGAAAAAGGTGTCTAGATTTTCTAATCACTGTGATTTCTGCATCTTATAACATTTTTCTTGTCAGGGTCCTCTCTGCCCTTCAATAAGCTCTGGTCAAATTTCCCAAATTTTTCAAAGACTTTAGGAGCCTCTTTGATCTTGCCTGCACCTGGCTGAGCATAAAAGAACAAAAGTTTTGGATCCTGATTTGCATGTAAGTTATTCTGGAACAACATATCAGACAGTATCAAGCTCACCCTGCCTTTGAAGCAACAGATTTGAATTTTTTTCATAGCTTAACTAGATATGAACTGACAGACTAAAGTCTATCTGTCACAGCGGGACAATGGTTAGGATATAAACATATTAGACCTCCTCTTCTCCTTTGTGCTTGGAGTGTCTGGCCTGATTGGCTTTAAGAACTCAGTCCAGCAGGGCCTTACCTGAGTTAGCACACAGAGGTATGCCTGACTTCCTTCTGTGTTACATTGGAGCTTTGCTTGGAATAGCAGTTCCTAGTCCTGCTTTTTCAGGCAATCATTTACAGAATTACTCTTTTCCAAATTCTCTGTGTGTGAGGACAGAGCTCAAGAAAATGAGAGACTCTGGCTCTCACAAATACTAGGCTAATTACAACCCTGATCTCTTCAGATTTCCTGTAGCCTTTGCTGGCTACAGTCCACGATTCTCCCTCTCTGTCTGGGCTTCAGGCTGCTGTGTCCCATTCTCAACCTCAGCTGCTTCAGCCTTTCTAACATGTATTTGGTTCCTCCAGTTTGTTTTTCTCCGGAAGATAAGACAGCAGTATACATCATCTTTAGCATTTATAAGTAATGGACCATGGTGAGAAAGGAAGTAGGTGAGAGAAAAGTAAATTTTCAACTAATGAAGATTTTGCACAGGTCACAGGTATCTTCCCACATGGGGATCTTTCTGGTCTACATCTTTTCTACATCCTTCAGATCCTCCCCCTGCTCAGACCACTAAGGGTCTGGGCAACATAATCAGCTTTCTTAGCACGTAAACCAATTACCTCCCTATCAATGTAGACCAACAGGGCACTGGAAGAGCATTAACCCACAAAAAAGTTAGTGATTGCATTAGTAGCTCTATTGTTTTTCTTTATTAAAACTAGGCATATTTAGTTATGGTAAAGAATACTTGTTAAATTATTACTTGTTTAAGCCCAGGTGCAAACAGACACACAAATCTGGTGAAATTCCAGGCAAGGATTGTTACCCTGAGTTTCCTGAAGTGTCTCTGTATGGTATGACATCAATTTAAACCTGGTAAACATATGAAATCATAACTATCTGAGAGAGAAATGGGGAAAGGTCACAAAAGTTTAAATTATAGCAAAAAAAAAGGAAAAGCCTGAATAGTATGCAAAGCAGTGAAGATTACACTCATTTTGCTGGCAGTACCAGCATATCTTTAAATCGGTTTCACTAAGCTGTAGTTTGGCTGAACAAGCAGAAATTTCTAAACTAAATTCAGTGATCTAATTCTAGTTAAACATGGTTGAAATCAAGCCATACACATTAAACACAGCCAGAATTTGTGGGGGTACATCTGGGTTCATGGATTCAACACAAGACACTACAAAATGTTACCTTGAAGGGAATGGTCCCTTAATAATCCTTTCTTGAACCTTAATATCTAGGGTATTAGAGAATACAGAATATGTGAAAGTTGCAGCTATATACTTAGTCTGAAATCTGTAGATGTAGTGGAAGCAAAACTGGATACAAGTATTTCCAGAACAGTGGAATCACTCACAGACAAACTAAGATGAGCAGAAACAGGCATGTTTTCTGAAGTTGCACAGAAAAGAAAAGAACTAACTGTTCTTTACAATTACACGTTTGCTCTGTTCTTATGTAGAACAACTATTTTTTTTTATGTATTTCCTCTGGAAAAATAATTGCTTTTATGATTGCCGTCTCTTATCGCTGAAATTTTCCCTGATCCAGAGATTTCCATAAAGGAAAGGAGCTCAAATAAGATAGCAGACAAAACCTCACCATAATGAAAGTAGAGTTCAGAGGTTGAAAAACCATCTCTATTTCTGATCCTCCTGTCTTTTTCAGGAAGACTGACTACCATCACTCTTCAGAAAACGAGATACTTTCAGCTCTTTGTATCTCTAGCTCCAATCACTGGCAAAACCTCGGTAGCATCACTTATGGAAGAAAGGTAAAAGCTTGTAAAGGCAAGGAAATTTTAGTCTCTTAACTGTATGCTACAATATTCCTGTCTGACAGCCAAAATACTGTTTAACTGCTTATCATTACACCTGTCTCTTCTAAACAGGACTAGCATATTCATTCTGGACAAAGCACAGTAGTGTTTTCCAGTGATCTTTCTGCACCAGCAACATCATGAAGGATTAATAAAGTTCATTTATTTTCTTAGAATATTACTATAGAACCGACTCTTTCTCTTTTCATTGGTTCTAATATATAGATGCATTTTTAATCTGAATTTGGCCTCTGCCTGTCCCATAAGAATCATCATAACTTTAGCATCAGATTTTCTAGCATACAGTATTGATTCTGATGGCATCCTATAAACCACATTAGCACAAAGAACAATTTTTCCGGGGACTGTAATGCCTACTAGATACCAGGAGACTGTTTTGCCTTCTTAGTCTTTCCTTCC